TACAGCAAGGTCAGTTGCAGGAGCTATACTTGAATGTCAACTACTTTTTTAAGAGCATATCTTGAGATGTCTGATATAATTTTTTCAATAATGCCAGTTTTATATACCCTGGGCCCAGCATGGCCAGGTGATTAGGGCACTTGACTCACAATCTGAGGGTCACAGGTTCAAATCCCATCCCATCAAATAAACTCAGCCTTTCAATCCCACTATTTGTTGGTAAAATAGTCCAAGAGTTGGCAGTGAGTGATGATGACTAGCTGCTTTCCCTAGGTCTTTCACTACTAAATTACGAACGGCTAGTGCAGGTAGCCCTCGAGTAGCTTTGCGCAAAATTTGAAGCAAAACAAACAAATCATGTCTTATTTCCAATACTGTATATATATATGTGTGTGTGTGTGTAAAATTTGTGATCTCTAAAAATAACTTGAACACCAAATAAAATATGAATAACCAAACTAATAATCATTCACAAGAACATTTAATATTTAGATGAAAAAACTGCATAATTACAATGATCTAACTAGAAATGTTCAGTGATTGAATCATATACACTTACACAATTTTGAATAGTAAAATCTCTAGACTATTCCTCTACTAAGAACTATATTTTTACAAGGAATATTTTAGAAAATACCTGTTTGTTATATTACTGTTACTATTGCTTTCCTGTTCAATATCAACAGGAGATTTGGCATTCTTGTTGACATCCAGTGGCACACGTAGAGAAACCATTCTGTTAGCATAATGAATAGCCTGGCTATAAACTGTTGACTCTTCATTAGACACCATCTCTTCTTGTTGCTCTTTGGGTCTATTAGGCCATAATCTCATCTTCAAAAATAGAAAATTAGTAAAGCTCTTTACATCACTGTTCCTTCAGTTTTCTCTATGGGAGAGAAAAAACCAAGCTACTCACAAGCAAGTTTTACCCCCTTCAAAAACAAATCCTCAAAAAAGAAGAGGTCTAATATATTAAGAAAGTTACAGACACTAGGGAATTGTTCTTACCTTTTGATACAAGCAACATTTTATCATTACAAAAAACGTTTGCAAAACTTTTTAAACATACAAAATAGCACAATAAATACAGTACTCTAAATTTGAAGAATGACAAAATTTCTGCATGAATTTCACATCAGATTCTTCCTCCCCAGATGAAATTCAGCTAGTAAGCTTTGACAAAATAAGATAAAGTAGTTGTTTCCTCTGTCTTCTAGCAAATAGTTTTTCTAGTCAAAACTTTATAATACTTTACAAATTCTGATTTTACAGCTTGAACCTTATAAACCACAACTTGACTTAAGCAATTTCAATTATATGCTATGAATATACATATAAAGCAAAACTTGACTTAACCAGTTTTAATTATAAATTGTGGCTATAGATATAAAGCACAACTTGAATTAAGCAATTTTAATTATAGACTGTAACTATACATATAAAGCACAATTTGACTTAAGCCTATTCCAGTCATGTGGGTCTTACAGGATATTGTGCAGTAAAAATACCTAAAAAATAATTTTTTTAACTCTTTTTTTTCAGCACGGGCTCGGTCCCTGGGATCAACCTCGCAAACACATTGTGCTTGTTATAGTTTTCATGCTAGAAATTTTAAATTAATAAGCTTATGTTAACGAAATTTGAAAGATTATCAGTAAACATTACAATGCTTTCATACACAAAATATCAAGTATTTTTATTAAGTCTTAAGGTTTGTAAAGCAATGTTTTTCTCATGCCTTTCTTTTCCTTTTCGCATGTTGCCAAAGTAATTTTCATCTTAAGATTAAAATGCTTTTATGCATCAGAAAATTTTCAAATTTCACATGCAAAATCTTTATAATGTCCAGATAGTTATCAAATGTTTCTTACGAACAAACTTTATATTTTATCTTTTATTTTCAGTAATGAAAGACAACAAATTATAATACAAAAACACAAATATTTAGACTAAATAGCTTAAATCTCATAACATTACATATTTATATATATTTTATTATATTGACTTTTCAGCCATGCCTGGCTAACAATACAGAAGTTACAATGACGTGGCACATGTGTACTCTTGTTACTGTATCCAATAACATAAAACTGACCTTTGGTTTAGCTGTGTTTTAGTAGACTAGAATTTTACAAAATACAATCACATTTCAATTATTATACATTATATCTGTATATAGATTATTACTATTTAGAAATAAGTTCTTAAAGTTATTTTTCTTAAAACATAGAACAGTAAATAAAGAAATAAAGCAAACAATTATCTCTTCCAGTTGTGACCTTTGTACTCAGTTGCTGCTTGACGTAGGTTGCTAAGCCTTTTAAAATTTCTCACATGGAGGATATGAAACAAAAAAATTTTTTTTTTAGGTTTTATATATATATACAGTTGGATAACCCAAAATCATAAATTACTACATCAGTACCATAGAATTCCACTATAATTTATCAAGCTTAGTAACTAAGCTATATTTCAGTCTAAAACAATATGAAATTTTGAGCAGACTAAAGATGCAACATACCTCCTTGAAATCTTGGTTCAAAAGAAAGAAATGGCATCATAACACTTGAAAATGGATAAGAAAGCCACTACAGAACCTTCTGAGTTGTCATTTGGTTATTCATGTCATATATAAAAGTGTATATAAGGGAGCATTTCCAAAATTGGAAAGAGGTGGGCTGGTTGTCACTGTGTTTGATTCATTACATGAGCAATATCTTACCAAATAGAAAATCATAAGAGGTTCTTATTTTATATTCTAGCTTGTCAATATCGGTAATTTGAGTTCCTAATCTGTACGAAACTACAGACTTAGTATTTTGACATCAAAAACATATAATTTGAACCAGTGCTGCATTTAACATACCATGTGACACACAAAAATCGATGTTTAAGCATTTTTTAATATTTACTTTTAAATTATGAAATTGAGTAATGTATAATACTAAAATTTGGATTATAATCTACAGTTTATACCAAACTTATTGCCATAAATTCATGAAATAGTAGTTCAATAAAATTTTGAATGCAAGTCAACAAATGAAGATAGACATGGCCTTTGACCCATGTGGAAAGGGTCTAAGAAACAAATCTAGCATTTTCTGTATATTAACTTCAATCATTTATGTAATTTAGGTTTTTA